AATGGATGGATCTGCCGCCTGATGCTCCACTTCGGCCTTCGGTGGACTTTCCTGATTTTTACCCTCAGTCAGCATTGGCGTTGGTGGACTTAGAATGGTTGGACGTAGCAGTTGAGGATGGGTTAATTTGCTTATGAAGATCTGCAAATGGTTTCTTACTCAGGAATGTATATCAGCTAGGGTAATTGGTTGATCTGGCGGCCCTCGTTGGACTGAAGACTCTGAGGCTGTCTACAGCTCACATGTACTACGAGTATCCCCTACACTTGATGGGTGTATGAGACGCTGGACCTCTTTTCCAGCAGGTGATACTCCGCACCAATAGAATGGAGTCGCAAACTGCGCTGTTAGGAGTGAGTGCTCATATCACCACTCAAAACAACCTTCGATGGGTTTAAAAAAAAAAAAAAAAAAAAAAAAAAAAAACTTTGAGATTTAGTCATCTGGGATGAGAGGCAATGAAAGGTGGGAATGGTCTGTTGATGCTGTACTGTAAAATGGTGGGTAGGGTCACACCTTAGCGGAATGTTGCGAATTCACGTATCTGGGTACACCTGGGGAGCCACGGGCATACGTGTTTTGCGGGCACCTCTGGAGGTGCCCAAAATCGCTTTTTTTTCGTTGTTTTCGTTCTGTGATTTCTTTCCGCGTTCAGGATTGAATATCTGTGCCTCTCGCCGTGTGACTGCACTCCATGGTGCGTAAATTTGCTTTTTCGGAGAACTGGTCGCAGTCGTGTCTTTTCAGTTTTGTGCTGCATGCGGGAGTCTCAACGCTGTGTGACCAAGCAGTGCCCTGTAATAGCAAAATCATCAATGCTAAGTTTGCGATTTTGCCGTGGTAGCATGAGTAGGCCCTCAGATTGGTGAGAATGCAGAGAGGAATTTCAACTTAGGCTGCTATCCAGATCAACCAGTCAAACTTTGTCCTTCCTCGGTGGGCTCCGCAGATTGCAGTCACTACAGTCATCTATCTGTTTAAAACATTTAGCCACGACGCTCAGGGACGCCGAACCCACTTTCCAGCAGGTGCTGCTCCCCACCAATTGACGGAGCCTCCCTGGTAGTGCTAGTGTTGTCTGCCCTTATCAGCACCCCGGGCTGTTATTATAAAGGGGTGGCTTCAGTAGAGTCACAAAAACGAGTTAAAAATGCACTGTGGGGCAAGATACAGTTTGCAAATGGACTCCAGGCACCCTACTTGGGCAGAAAGCTGGGTTATATACATTGCCCCAACTGCAATTCGAAACTGTATGTTGGCCCATAGTGCAATTAGAACTCATTTTTTTGACTCCCGTGTACATGTTCGTGGGGCCCAGCATGTTCTGGCGACCGGACCCAACATCCCATCAGCCAACATATTGAGAACATATTGCAGAAGAGATTCAATTTGAGCCATCAGGGCCATTCATTACCGGGCTTCGGCTAGGCAAACCCCATACCCCATGCTCATCAGACCAATTGCGCAGTTCTAGAAGGGGTATATACTATATACCAAATAGCCCACCTAGGGGTATATACTACATACCAAATAGCCCACCTAGTAAGCGGCGTTCAAATTAAAATTTCAAATGAAAATTTCCTCTCTAATGCTGCTGAGTACTGGGCGGGAAGGCGGCGTAGACAGCTTCTGGTGGTGCTGTTAGCAGCGGCTTCAAATGTCTGATTGGCCTGGTGGTGAGTTTTCGGGAGTGATCTTCTATGTGTCTTTTTTTATCTCCCGATCGAATTGCTTGGGGTTCAAGACAAAGAATTTTCCTTCGTCTCGTTCTGTTTGACGACACTCTCTGCTTCCCATCTACCTCCCTTTACCATGCTGCTCAATCTCTTTCTCTTTCTCTATCTTTCCTCTCTATCATCTGCTTCTCCCTCTCAACATTCTTTTTTCTTCTTTCTTCTTTCTTCTTTCTTCGCACGCTCCTATCTCTCTCTCTCTCTCTCTTTTTTATTATTATTTTATTTTTTTGAAGTTATCTCCTTTCCATCGTGCATGACATTTGGCCACAGGACAAAAAAAACTAAAAATAAACAAATTTGGCCACACTGCCGCCATAGCCATTTTTACGGATATTGCCCTTCCTTTTCAAACTCGGCACCTGATTTTGTTGCCCACACATGTTTTTTTTGCCTGTCGGAAACTGAGGGCATACTCACACAAGAACTTTTTTTACTTATTTCTGGACGGAAATGCAGCCAGATACATCCATGTCTGGCCGTAATTACAGTCAGATACATTCGGAAGAGTGGTAGTGTGACTAGTACGCCCTGAAAGTGTGACACTGCTGGACTTGTTGCTTTTTTTTTTCTTTTTTTTTTTTTTGGACTTTTTTTTTTTTTGGACTGTGTACTAATTCATAATGGAACGGCTAGTAATCATTACCTTTTTTTTTTTTCTTTTTTTTTTTTTCAGTTACTCCTTACGCGTTTTTTTTGTAGTTGCTCGTGCTCCATATCCTTGTTGAACTTCGTTATGCTATATATATAAATTGTGAAATGAAAAGGGGATGACGCAAATAGGAGGACTCGAGGGGAAGGCAGCAGCATCCATTTGACTTTTCCTACTAACTCTTTCTTGTGTCTTACTTTCTGCTTAAAGTTCGCTTTAAATTTTCTGTAGATTGAGCTCCGGGACCTTCTGGTTGCACCATGCTCTAGCTCACATCTTCGCACCTTGGCTTGGGTGTCACTGACTACCAGTTACTTTGACTATTCATATGGCGTAAAACGATTTCACGGATAGAGCTACCGCATGTATGGATTAGAGACGTTGTACAAGCACTTTATTGCTTGCCTCTCTTACTCTTCTCCACTCTACTCGTGAAGCAGCCTGCGAACTCTTACGGTCCCCATCAACAAAACGAGAACATACAATACAAAATGAAAAACGAATGGTTATAATTTCAGATGATTGCTTATATGGACGCCGATCAGCGTTGCACATCACACCTGTTGCCGTCGTCGTCCGAAAATCAACTGTGTCTGCTGCTGTTGCTTGCAGCAACGCTGTCCAGGCCGAACAGACGGCCGGCGGTCCATCTCTGCCTGTGTTCTTCCCGATTTGAAATTCAAAATTCAAGCTCTGCTCTCGAGTGATAAGCAACGGGACTGCGAGCTCCAGGGATGGAAAGGGGGATGGAAGGAACAATCCAAGGTTGGGGGAAATGAGCAGGAAACCAAAGCACTGCCAGCTGTTAATTATGAAAGTGAACCTCAACTATTATAATTGTGTTATCACTATTATCATTCAAAAAAAAAAAAAAAAAAAAAAAAAAAAAAAAAAAAAAACAGAAAGAAAAAAGGTTGCCTGATGGCAGGCATGGCAAGGGGGAAGGGGGGTATAGAAAAAGTTTAGTGACAAGCAATTGGCCAGCAACTTCTTCTTCTTCTTCTTCTGCTTCTTCTTCTTCTTCTTCTTCAAGGCAAAAAACACACCCCCGGTTAACCACGTGTGGACTCGCGGTTAAACGGGAAAAGAAAACTGTTACAGAAAAAAAAAAAAAAAGCAAAGAATCAGCCTGAGGGCACTATGACAGTTTCAGTGCAAAATTCGGCGGAAAAAAAAAAAAAAAAAAACACCCGCGGATAACCACGCACGCACGAGTGTCTTCAAAGTGTCATATATATATATATATATATATATATATATATATATATATATGTCGTCACAAACAGAACTGCCCGGTAAAACCGTAGGCAGAGAGAGAGAAGAGGACAACAAACGAGGGGCTGTGACAAACTGTTTCGTCGGAGTTTCACCGACTCATCAGGAGGCTGAACCCTCAACAGTCTGCAGAATCCCCTCACTGATTACACTGTAAATGATAATCTACCTTAACCAAAATCGAAGTAGACTATCACTCACCCACACCAGATGGAAAACTCTACAGACTGTCGGTTCACACCCCATCACAAGCCAGCAAAACATCCACGAAACAAAGAAAGGTCTGTCACAGCCAAAAAATACACTCCAGACACGCCGCTGGCACTAGAGGCACAGCATGGCCGCCTAGTAACGGCCCCGACCACTGCCGCTCGACCTGACCGGAAAAAACCGTAGCAGGAAGCTAGCGAAGTCGTAGTATATATCGTCACAAACAGAATATATATATATAACTCCGACGAAACAGTTTGTCACAGCCCCTCGTTTGTTGTCCTCTTCTCCCTCTCTGCCTACGGTTTACCGGGCAGTTCTATTTGACGATATATATATATATATACCATTAGTTTGTCACAGCCCCTCGTTTGTTGTCCTCTTCTCTCTCTCTGCCTACGGTTTTACCGGGCAGTTCTGTTTGTGACGATATATATACCATCCGTTTACATTAATTCTCCCGTCGACGAGTTTCTCAGTTCCGTACCCACACACAATCCCCTAGACGCATTCGGTGCAGCGGCATCCAACTGTCATCAGGGGGCTATCATCCTGTATCTGGCTTTCCGGCCCTCCCTTAGACTTCTCCCGCTGAGTATAGAAGGGGTGCACTTGTGCCCCCAAAATAAAAATGTGTGCAGGGGGTAAAGTCAGTGGCTGCAGTCCGTGACCCCAGCCCTTCAATGCATAATCGCACACACCACACCAGTAGCTGACCCATCAAAATTGCTGACGTCAACATCCAAACCTTTTGTATCCCTCAACACTGGCAAACAGATTAAATAAATGTAAAATCTGTTTGCCTGCAGTCAATCCATTTACTACTCTCTCTCTCTCTCTCTCTCTCTCTCTCTCTCTCTCTCTCTCTCTCTCACACACACACACACTATTTGGCATCATATCTACATAATCTCTCTGTGTGTTCCCTATCTGCCTAGTACGCTCTTTGTGGTGAGTCCATGTACTCTCTCTATCTGCCATATCTACATATTAATCTCTTTGTGTACTTATCTGCCTACTCTCCGTCCCAGCCACCTCTCTGTCTGGGGCGAGCTGAAGTACTTATCTTGGGGCTTAACTTTCACCCTAGCTCACTTCGCCTAAGATTGCAATGGTAGGGGCCTGCCCGTCAAGCCGGAGGCCTTTTGTTCTATTCTTGGATTGCACATGCCCACACCTTTGGCTCTCCGCCTGTCTGTTTGTCAGTCTATCTGTCTGAAGAGGGAGAAAAGAGGCCTAGAGACTCAAATTACTAGCAATGGATTTACAAAATTGGATAGGTATTAATTATTTACGAAATAGTTTGCGCCTGCTTCTGCTTATAAAGACAGAGCAGAACAACTGACGCCGACGAATCATGTACTTCAACCGCTGCTGTTCAGCACCCGACTGCCACCAGTACTGTAGGAACACGTTGAGAGAAGGGGGAGACCGAACCCCACTTCCTTATTGAACCTTCCCATCGATGATATAGGCAACCCCCTTTTTTTTTCTTTTTTTTTTTAACTACCCTCCGGGCATGCAAGTGGTGCTAAAGCATGCACACAAATGTCCATCTCTTCAATGCCTTGGCAACGTCACGACCTGCCACCATCCCGACTGTTGTTAGGGGGGGAGGGGGGAAGGGGGTGGGGGGGGGCGGGGGGAGCGTTTCACCTCGGAGTCCCGCAAACTCAGCAGCACATTGTTCTCGTTGCCCATGTCTCGCCAACCACGCCAACGCTTCTGGTTCTGTGCGAACATATGCGCATGCAGTGCCAAAGACAGGCCACCACTGGCTCTGCCTTTCTGCCATGATATGATTGTGGTCATGGAGGTGGGACCTTCCCAACAGGTATAGAGATCTGGTAGTACTTGGGGTTCCCTTTCGGCCCCTCGCTGAGGACATACAGAGCTGCATATGTGTGGTGGCTTGAACAGCCTGGCCAACGGTACACCCACGCCCCCTCTAGGGAATTGAACCGGGTTGCTGCCGGAGGGTTGCCACCGAAATGGGGCTTTTTCAAAGGCGTGTTGATCTTGACCACCGTGGTATTGTGGTGCACCAGAGTTACTACGCCGTTCCCGGGGCCTCGGTATGAACGAAGGAAGAAGACGTACCCTCGTTGAAGCTGCTGCTTTCTTGCCTTCGGTGCACCCGGAAAACCCCTGTGGAAGTTGATGTAGGCCTTGAGCTTGTGCTTTCCACCTTCACATCTCGGTTGCATCAAAATGAATGAACTGGCAAGCCGAGATGACACGTCGCACAACTGCAGATTATACATGCTCGCCCTCTTGCACTCCCTCGCTGCTGGATGATTGTTCTCTATGCAGTTGTCGCACTTGTGCGTTGGACTCAGGGTAACTGTGCTACGCACTGGCTGCTTTACAATGTATTCTATCCAAGGCACGGCCTTGCTGACTCGGCCAAACACAGACAGGCCCATGGCACAGCCCCCGGAATTCCAGCTTGCAGTGCCGAACTGTACGGGACATCCCCCTTGTGACGATAAGACAGTCAATGGACCACCACTGCACCAGAGAGCACCGAATTCCAGCACACAACACAGAGGTCCCCCGTCAAGGATTAGGGAAGGAAACGTTGTTATGGTGGTTCCTTTTGTTTCTCTTTAATTTTGATTCCCTCAGTGTGTGTGTGTGTGTGTGTGTGTGTGTGTGTGTGTGTGTGTGTGTGTGTGTGTGTGTGTG